TTTATGTAGTTCTGTCAGCACCCCCGGACTTGAGTTGTCGGCTCCCACATCCGATTACTGGATCATAGCGGTTCGTCGCTTTCACCTTTCATCACATTGAAATATTTAAAATATTTTTTTTTGGGTATGAAGCTTGGATTAGCCCATTCGATTGTTCAGAGACCATCAAGAGTGCCTGGTGTCTCTGAACAATCGAATGGACTAATCCATGCTTGATACCCAAAATTGATTGAGCCATTCGCACAAGGTGATAACCGTCGACCGTGTAGCTTAGGGGTAAGGGTTTGAAGTCCCGACCCGACTGATCGCGGTTCGAGTTCTGACAGGGACACAAAAAGTACGCACTGCTGACGAGTCCTAAACGGGACGAAACAGCTGTCCAGTGCTCTTTGTTGGTTAACACAAACATTCCCATCGCATTAAAATATGTTTGTTTCAATTTTGTTCAGGGTCGAAATCTCGCTGATCTGCGCCGCAGCATGTCTCGAGGACTATTTTCGTTATCCACCACAATCCGGCTTAGTCTACAAATTCTTGAGGCAATTGAAACCATTCATGAGGCAGGTTTTCTACATCGTGATATCAAACCCTCCAATTTCGCTGTGGGCAGATTGCCGAAAAATTGCCGCACAATATACATGCTGGACTTTGGTTTAGCTCGTCAATACACCACCCCTAAGGGGGATGTTCGTCCTCCACGTCCAGTGGCCGGGTTTCGAGGTACTGTTCGGTATGCTTCTCGCAATGCACACATGAACCGTGAGATGGGACGACATGATGATTTGTGGTCAATGTTCTATATGCTTGTGGAATTCGCCTCTGGTCAGCTGCCTTGGCGCCGGATCAAAGACAAAGAACAAGTACGTTGAACTGTTCCACGAAATCCAACTTCAGAGATGCGGGTTTTTTGTTTCGACTTAGAAATCGGACACCTCTTCTTTTTTGTCCTGCGGCATATAAAGCTAGCCTAACGGATCTTACTGTATATCCATTGTGAATAAACAAGTTTGCTCCTGTTCTAAAGCCAAGTAGTCAATAATAATAGTAAACTTTTGTTGAAAGTTCTCGACTTCACAAATCAAAGAAGAACAACAATAACTAACCGTTTATTTCTACCGCGTAATTAATTTGGAGTGAATTTGGTAAGTTATATTCAGTGCCTGAAGACCCTCAGGCTTGTGTTCTGATATTGCCGTGGGTTTGTTCTGGAATCTGTTCGCTTTCTTACTACATGTTTCCCATAACTTCAGACAGAAATGTACAACCACTGTATGGAACTCTGTCGATAAAAAAATCAACCCTAGGTGTTTTTGCTCAGTTTAGCTCAGATGAGATGGAGTGTGTGATTTAACGCTACTGGGCCAAGGACTCTTGTGCCAGGGATTATGCCGCGAAAGTTTCATTGTCGCCAACTATCGCACCATCGCACGCTACATGATGACCAACCATCTCATGCACTGCTTACAGTTGTTGCTCCGGTATCTATTGCTTGATAAACTTCAACTGGTCTGTAGAACACGTTATATGTGTACCGTTCTGTGATGCCGAATGAAGTATGGTTGCGTAAGCAAACGACTCCATTATGGTTTGCTTGCTGTAGGTTTGTGTGAACGTTGCGGTGGCACCATTCACCTGCCCGTCGATTGTGAGCAGCTTGATGAGATGTTATGTATGTTTTTACGTAATCGCGTTCGTCCACTGGAACAAGTGGTCAACTTCCACAGTTTACATTAGGTGGGACATTTTTTACGCGAGTCGAAAAGGTAAAGGTGATCAAACTAAGACGGGGCCTTATTTGATTCAGTTTCAGTTTTTACAACCATTAACCGTGCATTTTCGTGCGCCAGTTTTGGTTGCTGTCCTTTGGCTGCCCATTTGGATAAAAGAGCAGAAGTACCGGGATTTAGGTTACCGGTTTCCATCACTGAACAGCAGGTTCCGTCACACTAAGACGTGTAATAAAGAAAGACTTGGCATGATAGTAGGAAAACCCTAACCCGAGGATTCGGTCGCATTAGGCTTCCTGTTTGGGGATACCGGGATCATTTTAACCGATGGCTAGAGACACAGTGATATTGCTAAGTGTTGCAAACATTAGCATTCGTGCATATTCTCAGTTTCTTTGAAATCTTAGTCCTCTAGAGTTCTCTGTTTTAAATTTGACGCTGCTTCCAATAGCCCAATCTTACATTGGAATTGGGCAAAGTTCAGTGGCTTTGGTGGGGTTCAAATCTATGCATAGACGCCACACGCTTTTGTACAACGCACGCTGTAGCAGCTGAATCACGAGGTTCGAATCCAACCGAGGCTATCGGACTTTTCGTAATTTCAACATAAGACTTCAATATGTCAAACCACAACCCCATCGTCTCTATGCTCTTTCATCCGAATGGCAAACCAGCAAACGACAGTGGAAACCGCCGCACGCTAATGCGTGGTTGATGGTTGTAAAAACTGAAACTGTGTGATGCATTTAGATGATTTTAGCTTTTCCAATATTAATGCAGATTATTGATGTTCGAGTATTGCGTTCTCCAAAGTAATACACGGATCTGAGCGTACAACCGGAGCCGTTGACTCGATGTTAGATGTTTGTGTATATTTACATGGGTTGGATAGGAGCAAAAAATCGAGATAAATCGTTTTTGTTTGACGGTGCCTCCGTCAGATTAACGGTCACATTAACGGCAACGAACACCATTGGTCAAGACATGCTGCACACTCAAACTTATTGCTTTGGCACGATGCTTGTTTGCAAGCGGGTTATAAATATATATATCTTCAGCAAATCTGGAGTAAACCACACCGGAGACAGTGGACATTATCTATATTCCTTCGAGTTTATTAGTTTATTATTGTTATTTTTTGCACTTAATATCCCCACCCTCTTATTTTAACCGATTTATAGAAACTGTGATGTGTATGACAAGAAGACGAATCACTAAGCAGAGCTGAATACTACCGGGCGCTCGTCCCCAGGTTGTGGATAGGGGATACCTTCACCAAAGAAGGTTAGCTGTGAATAAGTTGTGGATACCGCAACAAACAAGCAGTCGCGAACAAACAGCTGTGGTACTATCGGGGTGGGGTGGGTTTCAGGTTGGTCACCTGGCTCTTACTTAAAAGCCGCATGAGCCCAATGACAGTGTCGTGACAAAGGTCGATGTGACTGGCCTTTTAAAACCATTAACCCCTTCACTTCGGAGGTGAGGGCTTACTTCCTGCTGCCTTGCAGTTCGCACTTGGTTCTGCAAAGGCTAGATGTACGCTCTCAAAATAAAAAAAATGCCGAGTGACGCTGGGGATGTCTCTCGTACCGAACTCCCAAAGAACTTCATGATCCTGATCATTTCTGTAACCGGCTTATCCTTTTCAAGGAGTCCGCCGCAGTAAAACAACTACATTGTGTTCTATTTAAGCTGTTGTTTTTACCGCATTGATTATTGAAAGGCACTAATTAGAACTAGATTAGCAATGAACTACTGTGCTGACGTTTCCTCAAACTGTAGCAAATTTTTTATTGCTTATACCCCCTCCCCGTAAACGCTGTATGTAACTGGGATCTCCTTGTCTTGCGTTTCATTTTCCTCTCAATGTAGGTTGGACAAATAAAAAACAATTTCAATCATATGACCCTTACTCGCTGCCTGCCCAGTGAATTTCGTGCGTTTCTCGAACATATCGAAGGCTGCAGCTACGCTGATCGACCAGACTACAACATGCTGCGCGGTCTCATCAAACAAGCCATGGCTCGTCGTGATGTTCGGGAATCTGATCCGTTTGATTGGGAACAGTCACCTGTATTGGCTGACGGTCAACCCACGAATGTTGCACAAGCACCATCCACTCCCGCACCTGCCTTGACTAATGGAGTTGTGGGTACCGCAGGAACCCCAGTTGGACAGCAGGCAAGTCGTCAAGGTGTCACCGGACACGCCCCATCAACAGGTGGAGCTGCTCAACACACTGGATTCGCTGACAAGCACCAGCACACCTCACAGCATCAACAGGGTGGTGGCGGTGCTTCTTACCATCGACAACATCACCCTCATCATCACCATCATCATCATCGATCAGGAAACCAAGTCCAACGTGGAGTTGACACAATGGGACTAGGCACAGCAATTAGTGTTGGTGGAACCTCCGCACATCATATGGCTAGCACAGTGAATGAATCTATTCAAGGTGCACCATCACCGGCGATGGGTGGGGTCCCAACTGGAAGAACGGTATCTGCGGAGCTTGCCGTTGGCGGGGAAGGTTGCGGAGTTGGAAAAGCTCATTCACCATTGCCTCCTCCTCCGACTCCTGGTGCTGTTGACGAGCTGGCGGGTACTGAGCTAGGAAAATTAGGGACAACCAACGCAGCGGATGCTGTCGACCATGCCGCCAAGTTAACTCGCGACTCAGCTGTTCCGAATGACGTTCCAGCCTCATCCACTGCGGGTGGCATGCCTGCCATGAATGGAATTCCCAACCCCACCGGTCTATCATCTACTGGTCACAACGCAGATGATATGAAACCTGTGCGGAGAATGAGTTCTGGTGTTACTGGGGGTCACAGAAGCAATAGACGTCATGGTAACATGACACCCTGTCGTAGTCTGGTGGATGTTGGTAAACCTACGGATTCTGCTGGTTACAATGCCCCCGGACCCAAGGCGAATGGAGAAACAGTATGCGAGTGGAATCAGCCATACTCTTACGGAAGTCGAAAGAGCGATGCCGTCCCTGAACAACGACCGTCAAGACTGCCAGTGCTCACTCCGGTTCGACAAAATCATCGAGATTCTCAGCTGGGTCAGGTTTTAGATACACAGAATAGTGCTTCCGTTGGTCAACATCATTCTGCCTCTGCTCTACGCTCCGGTTTTGGCGAGCGGATTCCTGGTAGTGGTGATCGTTTGGCAATCAGCTCTCCCAAAGGCAGTAGTCTGTTTGCCAGCGGAACAGATATGAGTTTAACCGGCCCATATGGGTACGCTGATCAGAGTCAGATCAGCGCAGCACAAATGACTCATGCAATTGCTGTGAGCACCATGGGCCGCATACCGTCTGGTTCCAATTCCCGCCTGACGCGGCTGAATAGCTATGCTGCCGGTTCTATTACCCAGTTAGCAGGATTAGGTCTTTCCACTCAAGATCTTTTAGGTGATGAAGATGGAGAAATCAAAATGAGTGCTATAGATGGAAACGATGCGCATGGTACCATTCCTCCGTCTAACCTGACTGAAGCTGAGCACGTTGATGGGGCTTTGATTGTTTACCGCGCAGATGATTCAGACGCCGATTCTGATGAAAGGCCCAATGGAGCTGGGGTTACGGACAAATCCCGAAATGTTGAGGTGAACTTTTTAACAACAGACGACAGTAGAAATGGCGGAAAAGTTCGTTTGCATCACGATAACGGCACCAGCGGATATAGTTTGAACCCGACGGAGGTTGGCGACGATTTAGTTCGGGATAAACATCCTTCTAGTCTATCTGGCTCCAACCCCCGTGCAAACAGCAAACCACGTGCGCACTTCGCCACTCATCGTCGTCAGCGTGCCATAACAGGGACGAGTGCTGATGAGGGTGTGATGCATTCTAATCGCCGCGTGTCTGTAGGTGAGTCTATTCTCAGCTCGCGTAGTTCACCTCAGTTCATTACCTCCGCGGATGGTTCCGGTCGCCGAGCTTCACTGACCCAGTCTGTTCCCAATAACCGGCCTGTTCCTGTTCCGCGTCAACGTCCTCAAGTTAACTGGAATCAAATTCGTGGACCCAGTGGTTTCATTGAAGGATCGCGTGTCAAATTGGAACACAGTAACAGTCGGTCTTCTCAGTCCGGCTCGCATTCATTCAGCCGTGATAGCTCAGGAAACAATGGTGCTCTAGGCCCCGTTCTTGGTCGCAAAACAGCCTCTATGTTTGGTGGTCCAAACGGCACAGTCAATTCAACAAGTAGCCACTTCCAAGCTCGTGCTCAGCCCCGCAGTCCAGGGATAGGCACTCGTCTAACCAGGGCTAACGGTGTGCATTCAGGCAGTGTGCCCATCGATGTTCAAAGACAACGTTCCTATCCTGCGGGTCTGCGTACCGTGATAAAACCAAAAAATGGATTTTTCCCAGCCAACAATAGCGCAAACATCGGTAACAACGGCGGTCCCGCTACTAATCGTTCTCGCGGTACCTGGACACGGGGTTTGGTTGAGCTTCAAGAGAATAACAACCATCTACATGGGACTCAGGATTTCGAAGATCCGGTGGACACCGCGTGTATACGACGACCCATCTCTCGACTATCCCTTTACGAACGCACGGATGTAGGTCGGGCTGTTCTTT